TTGTTTGTTTATTTATTTATTTTTTGATCAAGGGCAAAAAGAGCTACAAGGAGGCTTAAACTCCTTGCAACACTGCAATGTCTGGATCGTTTGCCTCCTCCACCATGAAGATTGTCTCCATGACACCAGTAGCACACACAAAATCCTTACTTAAGTAGGGTGGTCTGCATACTGTAACTTTTGCACTTGTTAAAATTTTTGCACGCAATCTAAATAGATCACCCACACCACACCTATAATACACAACACATTAGGGCTGCGCGGTAAATGCGGTAGATGGTAGAAACTGTATGAAGTTGGCCTACGGTAGAAATTTACCCTCTACCGTCATATCGTCATTACATCATCGGACCTGTGTCAACAGGGCTGCGAGTGCAGAGACAACTGAGCAGGGGGAGTTCGAAATAAAACGAAGAAATTATAGTGTTTTAAAATGCATAAAGAAAATAAATCCTCAAAATTTCCACCTCCCGCTGTAGAAAAGTTACATCGGGATCATTTCCTTCCTCCCTCCCGCAGAGTGAAGCTTTACAACAACCGGAGTTTTTACACACCCAAGTTTTCGGAGAAAAAACTTGTTTTTTATATATTGTTACCCACCACAGAAATGATAAAAAAAGACGTAAAGTCGGCTTCTGCTCTGATGATGAAAATGAGCGCACAGCAATAAAAATGAGAGCGCAGCAGCTGATAAGTTCAGCAGGCAGAAGCTCATTGTATGGCAGGCTGATATTAAAGCAAAAATGCTGGGTTTGATTAAGATTAGTTTTCTGCAAAAAAAGGCTCTAAAAATTACATATACTTTTTTTGATAGTTTCCACCGCGATATACAGTATATGCTGTTACCATGAAGGGATTCAATTTATTCCGTGATACGAATTTGAGGTCATACCGCCAAGCCCTACACTAATATGTACACAGCAATTTAGCACTCGCTATTTTGGATCTTTGTAAAAGAGCCCCCAAATGTCTTCCCTGCACACAATCATTGTGATACCTGTGACCTCTTTTATGGCAATAAAATAACTAAATACATTTAAACATATGAGAGAAAATAAAAATTTAAACTTACAACAGCACAATAAGGACTAGTGAATCAACTACAGTCAAAACCTGAAAGATATGTCATTTTATGTCAACCAACTAGGTTGGACATTCTTTTGTTATGTTTTAATTAAAAGCAAAGTCCAGTTAGGTGACGGTCCAGGACCCATAACTGTGACCAGCGCGCTTCTGTTTGGGATCCCATGATGTCCAGCTTTAATATGTGGATGAGCATCGATCAGTTGTTCATTATCATATGGTGTTTATGTTTATGTTCTTGCCACCTAGTGGCATGACTCACTTTTATTATGACCCCCGCACGCGAAGCGTGAGCGGGAGTCATATTGTTTTCATACGTTTTTTTTTTCTCTTTTTTTTTCAGTGATTTTTGGTCAACCGTAGCACAAAAACGGCTGCACCAATCAACATGAAATTTGGCAGAGCTGTAGAAGAGTCTGACCTACACTGCGCCAGCCAACGGTTTTATGATAGACCCCATATTTGAGGAGGGGGCTCCTTTCAAAGAGGGGGTGTCAGGACATGCAAAAATGCTTATAACTCAGAAACTGTTCAACATAGAAGCTTCAGATTTCTTTTGTTGTTTAGCTCTGATGAAGCTCTATCAATCAGGTCCCCATTTTGGGATGCATCTGGTAGCATGACATTTATTAGGAATAAAGATTTCAGAGTTCTGGTGCATTTCTGCGTGCGGGGGTCATTATGTTACCGCTATGCGGTATCTAGTTAGAATGTGTGGACAAAAAAAAATCTGGAGAGTAGAGTGGCTTTTAGGGCCTACTACAAAAAGCAAACGTACCCTCCCCATATAAATAAATAAATAAATCCCCCACCCAAACCACTACAATTTTGGGATGCACCAAGCAGCATGACATTTATCAAGAATAAAGTCTTCTGAGTTCTGGCTCATTTGTGCATGCTGGGGTCATTATGTTACCGCTATGCGGTATCTAGTTAGAACATTTTTTTGTAAAATGAAATTTGCCGAAGGTTTTAAGTACTGAAATGTTTACAGAAAAAGTGAGGGTTAACCAAGTTTTTAGTTTAAATGACAACACTCAGCAATACTCATGATGGCATCAGCCACACGTTGGTAAAACCAGTCCACTTTCACCTCATTGATTTATTTAGTTTAACAGTTGAACATGTGTTTTGTTGTATTAGTTGTGTTTCACACGTGGAGCTGTCAAARACTGGCATGGCCAGAGCAAACCCATAAAAATGCTACCTGGACTTATAGTATCTAGACTGAATTAGCCAATGCGTGATTTGCAAATATTCTTCCATTTCAGGCCCCAAAATGTCTGAACTGTGGAACAGTCCATGCAGGGCCCAGAGCAGTTATTATGACCCCTGTGAGTTAGTTACTCATCTGCGAGTACTTTGAACTGTTCTCAAACAGCTGTAAACTATGATCTCTCTTGTAAGTCTTTATTGTGCTCTGATTATTTTAGAGGGACATGTCTGAAACACCCCAGAAAGCATCTTTACCAGATACCCAAACTAGCACAACTGGATCCTTCTGATGTGGGGGGAACAAATGACCCTCTGAGCTCCAAATCATGCATTGTTAATTAATGACTACTATAAAACAAACTCAGCATGTGTGAAGTGATGCTGAAAACGCTGTGAAACACAAAAACAAAAACCAATGATCAGAACTTTTCAAATGCTGTCAGCATTTGAAGTTGTCACCAGCAGGGTTTCAGTCTAAATCGTGTGCGGTATCAACATGAAACTCTAACAAGCTAAATAAATGGCGCCTCTGAAGGTTTCTCAGTTCTTTTCAGTCACTGAACCTTCAGAGGATTTTAAAGATAATCAAAGCCTGCAACCACTAAGGTACAGAAAAAGAGAAATATGAAAAATGCATGTTTTTATCTCTAAGAGGAAAATGTATGGGGGTGGTCAGTGGGTGAGTATTAATCAAAATGGATAATGAGTGTTTATAAAGACAGACTGAATGAGTTGGTAAATGAACTAAGCGATAAGCATGAAAGTAGATAAAACTCTCTGACCACAAGCTGAACCAGCACRAGTCACCCCACAGTGAAGACCCCAGAGCTGACTGCACTGACACTCAGAGAAGCAGTAAATTGACTCTGAGTGGGAGGACCAATTTGACCAGACCTGACCTTATGGAGACCTGCAAATCCCAAATGTTTTGTCGGGTAAAATCCAGAAGAACATTTACAGTGTCTGTTAAAACTTTGCTAAAAAAGTTGGCAAATAGAGTTCAGGGAAATGCATGGTATGATCTCTAAAAAGTCATAATGTAAAAGCAGTAAAGGAAGTTTAAAGACATGATGCAAATGCTTTCTGGAAGCAAAGACAACTCCAACAAGCTAAACTGAAATATGGTAAAGAAAAGAACTAAAAGCCTGCACATGAGCAACTATTCCATAGCAAGTGATGTAAAGTAATCCTTGGTAAAAGACAGTTGGTTTCCATTGGAGGGGAAAACAAAAAGGCAGAGCTGCAGGGTGGAGGAACAAACTGTCAWCACTGATGGGTGAACAGGGCAGATGAGCAGAATGACGACGAGGAAAACTGAGGGAGGGGGAGAAACATTACAGACAGAGGAAGGTGAGAGATAAACTGACACAAGAAGGAGCTTGAAAAGCAGTGGTGAAGAGGACGAGGTGACCGTGGGGGCGGGGGGNAAATTACTCTGATTAAACCGTTTTATTTTTATTTTTCGTAGACTTTGTGAATAAATCTTCCTTGACAGCATTTTGTCACTTTCAGCCCTTGTTTTCAGCAAGTTCAAAAACTGCAGAGTGGCCTCGCATTTTAGGCAAAATATTTACAAAAGCAATGAGAGGGGGGAAACCGAAAGCAAGAAAAACAAGAAAAGAGAAATACAAGATGGGAACATGAAGGCGGAAGACCCTAATTTTACAAGTCAGACAAAAAAAAAATGACAGAAAGGAAAAAGGAAGGAGATAAAGGGGAAAGATGGAGGGGAAAGTACAGTCGGGTGATTTTTCTCTAATAGATTCCCGCAGGGTCATCTTTGATATGCTGTGTTCAGTTTGAGTCTTCACTCAGTCAAACACACTTGTTAAGTCTTTCAAGCCGAGATGAAAGAAGCTTTTAGCCTCTCTGTTGTTCTAAAGGCTCAGAATGTACATCTTTATTATTTCTAGTTTGGTTTCTGTCCTTTGAATTTTGAATCAGCTGTTTAGAAAAGCTGAATATTTTTTACACCTTTATTTGAATTCCTTTTTATTTTCCCTTTTTCAGTTTGTTTGGTTTCAGTTCTTTCAGTTATTTTTTTTTTGGCTTATTTCTCATTATTGCTTAGTTGTCCTTTTGATATTTATGTTTACAAAACAGATTAAAAAAACGACTCTTGAATTTCTAGTTGTAAAAGTTTTTCTTTATTAAATAGCTAAATAAGTATTAAGTATCTACATGGCTCTGGACATTTTTATAAAAAAACTGACTTTTTTTCCACAGTATTTGTCCCTCCATTTATCCACAGAGTTATGAGGAAAAACTGATATTTATATAAAAAAAATCTTTTTTGGCAGATCTATGCAGGCAGGAGATGAAAAAGATTTTCAGAAATGAGGACATTGAAATAAACAAATAAAACTTAGTTTCGCTGTATTTTGAGCCTGTTGCCATTGAACTTTGATGGCGAGCTAAAAAATGTTAATAACTGTGAGAAAACACAGTAAAAATACATCAAGTATCAGTTTATACAAGCTATGTGTGCAATGTTCTTGCTTTATATGTTGATACATCATTTCTAGAAAGTAAAATATTTACTTTCTATGCAAAGCTTGAAAAGCACATTACTCAATGTGCAAACTGCTTCCCCGTCATTTGTTAATTTTGTTGACATGGTATATGTTTCATCGAGGTTCTCTGAGTAACGTTTTCCTTCATTTTCCTTCCGTCTCCCTCCTCGCTGTCTGGTTTTCTGTCAGGTCCAGGGTCACATGCCTCCTCTGATGATCCCGGTGTTTCCACACGACCAGCGGTCTCTGGCCGCTGCCGCCGCGGCACAGCAAGGCTTCCTCTTCCCGCCCGGAATGTCCTACAAGCCAGGTATGCTCCTGAGCCCCCTGTCTCAACAACCACTGGGATCCCAGTGGAGGTTAATGAGCTGCATCTGGTGAGGAATGTCCTGGAGAGATTTACAAGCCTCCTTCCTTTACTTCAGGATCAATTCACTGGACGCACCGAGGAGCGGAATGTCTCCTTCACGATGTCCCGGAATTTAAGACGCTCTCACTCACATGAAGGCACACACGTGCTCCTAAGTATTTTCTAGCTCAAAAGCTGCCAACATGCTAATGATTCCGACAGACAAATCACTTGGCCTCCGAAAAGAATGTGCTCTGAAGAAAGCACGCATGTTGCATGTTTTAACAATTCACGAGCATTTTTCTGAAACAGCCTCCCAACAAAACCTCGGAGGCCGCACCTACAGGCACAGCGCGCGGTCGTGTTTTTGCAGGATACTCTGCACCACCTGCCTTCTTTCGCGTTTCTCCTCGCGTTCCTCGCCAGGTGCTCGCCTGACACGGGGGGCAGCGCCGAGCCACCAAACTTCACGCAGAACAAGCTGCACGAAGTCACACACACACACACACACACACCCCTGCAAGGCTGCAAAAAGAGGGAGACATACAGAAAGAATTATTTTTAAAAATGTTCAAAAGCCGTTATTGCACACCCTGTTTTTTATTTTATTTTTTTATTTTTTTTTTACTTGGGACTGTTTCAAACAAAGACCTGAACATGAAAAGCCTTTTAAGGACAAACAGCGGGGGCGTCATACGTCCTGCTTGTATACGAGCTTGTGAGTGCGTCCCATTGAGCGAGCGCTGCTCCGTCTGGTCTCGAGCACTTGTTTGTGCCGACGGTGGGCATTATTAACCTCTGAATAAAACGTTCGTGACCCTTGCTGTAGCTTATGTATAAAAACATGAGTGGAACAGGCGAGGAGACAAAGAGCGAGACAGGGAGAAAGAGACAGAGCGGCGGGGCTGAAGGTAAAGAGCAGGTTGGTTCTTGCGTTGAACTCTGCCCCTGTCTCTCTTTATAATACGTGTTGTTTTGCTTGTTCACCAGGTGAGAATTACCCAATGCAGTTCATTCCTTCAACAATGGCAGCTGCAGCGGCGTCTGGACTCAGCCCTCTACAACTACAGGTAAGAAGACCGCACCTTGACATTTCATCCAATGAAGCCTTCCCTTAATGCAAAATGTTGGAAGCTTTCTTTTATTATATATTTATTTTCCATTCTGAATTAATCACACATTCAAATAGATAAAAAGAATATAAAAGGGTTCGACAATACCTTTGTGACAAGTAAGCATGGAGGTTGGTGTGTGTGTTTGTGTGTGAAATGTGCTTCAATTCAACTCAAATGCCCTCTTCACCCCATGAAACTTCAGAGAATGTCTGATTTATCTTCTTTTATTCAAATGATTCTGTCACAAATTATCCTTGTGTAAAAACAAATATATAGCTTTTTTTAATATAAAGGCATATCTTCTAACTCACCCACTCAAGATGTTTTGTATAACTCTATTCATCCGTAGGAGTGTGACAGAATAAATATTTTTACAAAGTGAGGTAATCTCTCAAGGATTTCTTCGAAACGATAATATTTCTTGATACTATTGATCCCTTTCTGTTTGTATGAATCAAAGACGAAATCAAAAGAAGAGCTTTGGTGAATAAGAAAAAGATGGAAAAACCAAACCAAGTTTCAAAGGCCTGACATCCCTGCATATCACCCAAAACCTTCCACGACAGTTTTAATCGGAGATGCTGAGAAACAGTACCCGTTTTCCGCAAACCTTGAAAATAACGCTGTGCTCAAATTAACACAATATCACAAGATCGTGCGCATTCTGTTAGCACTCTGAGCATGTTGTAGTTGACTCTCAGCTACTGTCACACTAAATTTTGATTAAATGTTTTGAAAATTGATGGACTTGCAACCTGTCCAGGGTGTATCCTGCCCCTCGCACTGTGACTGCTGGATATGGGCACCAGTGACCCACGCGACCCTGAAAGGAAGAAGCGTGTATAGATAATGGATGGATCTTGAAAATTCACCAAATTATAGCCTTTTTTTGTTTGTTTTCTAAAGTCACAGAAGTTAATTGTGGATGTACTGTACATCCAGTAGCATACATTTCGAGTAGGGATGCACGATATATCGGTATTGATATCGGTATCGGCCGATATTGGTAATTTTTTAGAATATCGTATCGGTCCGATATGTAAAACTGGGCCGACATGAACGTCTGATATTGATTTCACACTTTTTAGCTTCGTGTTTCTGTTTTTGGAGGGGAGATGGTTGGTTGAGCAGCATCTGTTTGATCATGATAGTGAAATTGACGCTGCATAGCCAGGAATAACTGAAGTATGGAGTCATGTCAGAGGTCTGGTCATTTTTTTTACCGTGTCAAAAAAAGACCCAAGTGTGTTTGTGCGTATATGTATAATATAATTTGTGTTTTTGTGTAACATTGGTAAATATCGGTTATCAGCCATAACAGCAATAATTATATTGGATATCAACATCGGCTGAAATTTTCACATCGGTGCATCCCTAATTTCAAGTTATACGGATTGTCCCTAATTTACATGGATTTTCCCTCATTTTGCAGGTGTACGGATGTATAAAGTAGTCTCATGGATTTTTTCAAGTTTTATGTATTTTTTTCAAAAACTCAGTTTCTAATTTATTCAACAGTGGCCGTAGGACGTTAAAAAACAGTAAATAACATCAAGTCTTCCATCTTCGAGCCTGCTCTGCCACTATAAATAAGTTCCCCAATCCTCATTTTGTGAAAGTTTCATCCAGGGGTTCAGAAGATATCTTGATAACAGACTAGTTTTAATTTTTGCAATATTTGGCTAAGTTTTAAATCAAGATCTCACACAATCAACTGACTCTCAACGTACAGGTTATAATGGCTTTCAGATGCAAAGCTAATTCACATCTCAAAATCTGTCAAATGTACAACATTTTATATATTGTGTTTTCTAGGGTCACTTAACTGGGGCGGCCATCTTTAATGATGCTAACTGTAAAAGTTAATCAGATGAACAAGTACATTCAATAATTACTTTTCAAGAGTTTCATCAAAATCCAGCCAATGGTTCAAGATGTTTTGCTAACAGACAAATGTGCACACGAGCAGATAATAAAAAAACCTTGAGCTCCTTCTAACCTTGCCCTGAGATGACGAGAACAAACAAACTAAACCTTTTCTCATGGCAAAGAGCTTGCTATCTCTTCTGACAGTAGACATGTTTTAAAATGTATCCAGTGTATAAAACCATTTATGTTGTGACACTAAAAGACTAAAGGTTTGTTGTTAATTTAAGTGTCTGACAGACTTTACATGTAAAGATGTAGCTGTAATTAAAATACAGTAGAAGAGCTTAGTGAAGAGTTTTAGTCTTTATGACTGCACAGTTAAATGCTGTCTCACTTTGAGAATATAAATATCAACAAAAGACATAAATGAACCTGCACTTATAGTCGACTTATAAAAAACTGTGTTTTGCAGTCTGTTCTGCTCTGTGGTTCGTATCAGACACCCTCACCCAGGGATGTGCCAAATGAGGATATTCAGACCTGGATGTTGATTAGCTGTCAAGGTTTCCTAAAGGTTTAAAGTCATGATAAAAAAGGTAGATTTGTTATTGTTTTTAGATTAGATGTAAGTGATTTAAGTAGATTAGTCAGTTTGCTTATTTATGGCAGATAACAAAGTTTGTTTGAAACTACTACTTTTTAATGGCAGTAAAGCAGGATCTCAGTATTTTCAGTGCTTGTTCTAAAGTTCTGTTTATGTTGGACAATATGTGCAAAGAAACTTTAAAAAGTGGGTGGTAATGAGTTCAAATGGAAGCTGGAGGAAGCGCAGAATGCAACAAACTGACACAGAATCCAGCTTCCCTTTCACTCCTTGTAATATTTAATGAAGTTACAGTGCCTTTTCTCCCCTTTTTAAAAAGAAAACAGTTAAAAAGTTAAAAATGACGCTCAGTTGACAGACAGTAACGCACCGGCCTGCTTATCTGCTGCATCAGACAAAAGCTGTTATGATGAATGACAGAGGAATTCCGCCCCGACAGCACAACACCTGGCCTGGGCAATTCATCAAATACTTTAATGCTGCTCAACACCTGTGGTTTGAGAATAGCAGTTATCTGTAATGGTTATCGTAGAGAATGTTTGCAAAGTGGAAGAAAATAGAAAAAACAAAGAAGAGGAAGAAAAGGAAACAGAAAATATCTGCTCCTTGTCCCTCTTTCTGCTGTAAGTGTGAACAACAAAACCGACAAAAGCCTTCAAAAAGCTTTTTCACTCCCAAACAATGTTGTTTCATCATGTCAGTCATTACCATAGCCAAGCTTTTAGATGTGAGAAGAATCCTTATCTCAGTTTATTCAATTCATATTGTTCCTCGCCTATCGAAGGCCTCATTAGCCGCTATTGACTTAGCCGAGCAGGCGTGCCTCGCCGAGGGGCTTGCAGCCTCCTGTCTTCACTCCTGGCTTTGAAACGATCAAAAGAGCCGTACGGTGAGCGAGAGGTAAGAGGGCGGGTGATGGCGGAGACGTCGTCGCTCACATTTAAACACTGCCTGCTACGTGCGCACAGAACGAGAGGCAACCTGAATGAAGGAGGAAGCTTTCAGTCAAGGCGGACTGAGACGGAAACAGAGAGCGCGGGGAAGTGTTGAGGATAGAATAAAGGGCAATTATTGGGAACGATCTTTTGTTTTGTGAGATGGAGATGGTGGCTTCCAGCACTTATTTAGACATTGTTTATACAATAATGCCTTTTGCCAAAAGCAATCATGAGAAGATTTGCCCTAAGCTTTGCTCTTGTTTGTCTTCATCACAAGTACTGGTGGAAACTTTTCTACTTTGGAGAAACTGAGCAAAATCTACAGATAAGGATTTTATAGAGGTGGCCAGACTTGGATCACTACTCACACAGGGGTGGCTCAAAAATATTTGCTGAAGATTTAATCATGTTTATTTATCATTCTCTCATTTACTTACACAGGTGGCAACTACCATGTAGAATTACATCATGAGAATTACCAATTGGAGCAGTGCAGTTGAAATTAATATTCTAGATAGAATAGCTTCGCCAAAATGTTGCTGGCAAAGTGACGGTTGAGCTGGCCATGGCCACCCCTGGCTCCACCCCTTTATAGACCTGGATGCATTTTATTAGATTTGAACTACAGATTTAACATTAAAGATTGAAGGAATGCCGCCTTTCTTGATTGAGTTTATCAAAATTATTTCATGTTGAGGAATAAGTGAAAGACCGTGTAAAGTAAAATGTAACATTTTCTTTATTAAACATTATAAATATCATAAATGGATTGTTGTAAATGAGTGCAAATTCTCTCAACTGTACATATTTGAATAGTGGAGAAATGATTCAATTAGTGTAACAAGGTATCTGTTTTTCAGGATATTTTGGGCGTGTCTTAAAGGGCAGCCTCGTGATGTCACGCAGCTGCCTTCAGTATAACCCTGCCCCCTGATGCTCTAATGGAAAAGAAAACAAACATTGTTTCCTCGGTTACAGGAATGTTCAGGGTGGTGGGCGTGGTTTAAGCTCCTCCAGTGGACACGCCCCCAGCATTCCAGACCACCGCTAACTGATATTTTTTCATTACTTTTAACACTTAATTTTATAAGGTTAACAGTATTTTTAATTGTTCAAACTTGGCTGGGTGATTTTTAACACATATTTCTATGGTGTGACAAACTCAGAACACGTTTATTTTTCCTTTACACAGTCTTTAAAAGTGTTTAGGTCAAATCTTGAAAATATTGTCATGTGTAAGATAAAGTGTGTGTAGTTAATGACTCCCAACTAATGCATTGTCAAACATTAGCTCAATATGTGTAATTTTCACCACATTATGGCCATTTTTGTGTTGCAAATTTTTAGTCTCTAGCTTGGATTTTTCACATTTATTAAAGGGATTTTTTGTATGAGAGATTGTCGTGAAAGATTATGAAAAGGTAACATTTTACCAGTTGCAGATATCTCTCAGGTCGGAGTTACTTTAAGGTAACAGCAATCCACTTTGGTCTTGGTCCCACTTTGATTAGGTGTTAGCTTGTCAGTCCAGTCAAAATGAATGT